ATGGCATGATTACTTTATAGAAGACAGTAGAATCTGTTAAAAAGACTGAAGATATTTTCATTGTTAATCTGTGTGAACAAGGGCTTTGCCCTATTGGATCTAAGTATTTCAGTGCACAACTTGGTAAGAACCATATTGCTGCTGTTTCTAAGCCCTCCACCAACCAAATTTTCATGTTCAGCATTGTAGAGGCAGAAATAAGAACATAATCATATTTGGGGTTTTTGTCTTGGTTCATTTTTCTCTCAATGATAATTTCCCAACCTTGTCTCTTTTAGCTGTTATATGTACAAATTTAGAATTAAAATGTTTTATATTTTTTTCATGATTAACTTTTATTAGTGAATGATAACAACTTAAGTATTTAATCCTAGTAGTGGGTTAAAAAGATGAGGAACCTTTTTTATTTGAATTACATTGTAAATGAAAGCAAGTCTGTGAATACTCAGATGACTACTCCAAAATAGTTCCTTTCCGTTTTTTCTTAGTATTTTTCCAGCTTACGTTCTCCCGTGAACTCTTACTTTGCTGAATTTTGTGGTTACTTTGGTGGATATATCCTGCCTTATTTAGAATTATAACTGGATTTTTTTTTTAATTGCCTTTTCATAAGTGCCCAATTTTGGTCTCTAGTTTGAAGGTACTACATACTGCCGAGAAAGTAAAACACCCCTCCCCTCCCCCCAGTTCTTGTGTTACTGAGCAAAACCATTCAGTACTGGTTTCCTAGCAGGGCTCAACCAAAATTGGTCCTGCGCCTATGTGAGTGTTTAGTGTTTGAAAATAAGGTTTTGGGTGTGGTAAATCACTACAGAAGTGCTAAATGTATTAAGAACTTGCTGCCGATTGTATTTACGATTATTTTAGATTATTTTACATTTGCAGAAATGTAGCCCTTTTCCTCCGAATTTATAGGTGTAAGAAAAAAAGGGGGAAAGGTGCACCATGTTTTAAACTTGCAAATGAGTGAAAATTTTTTTTTCATTTTGAAATCCAGATTCCCAAGAGGAAATTTCACCACCCAGATCACATACTTCTCAGCCTTTTACAAGCCAACAGACTGACTGAAGATTGTCCACAGTTCCTAAGATTTAGCACCTATACAAAAATAAAACTTTATAAATTAAATTTCGGTTTCCCCTTTTATTTATTAAAATAAGATTTCTAAATGGAAAGTAGAGGTGTAATCGATTTAAAGGGAACTTTAAAGGGGAAATGTTTACAAGTAGAGGAATTCAGCCCTTATTTTCTATATTCGCATCTAAGCCTTTCAGAAATGGGATTGTGATCTAATTGCTGGCTTAACTGTTCATTCTAAGACCAAGATTTGTCAAACACTTTGGTGTTTCAAAGTTCATTTAAATCAGAAATAAAGCAGGTCACGTATTTGACGGGAGTGATAGAAGTGAAAATTCATTTAATTCTCTAGCAAATTCCATCTGCTCTGCTTTTGGGTATCTGAAAAGTAATTATTTGTTGCCATGTTCCAAAGAAATATGACTTCCATCGAAACCTGTTGGTGCTTCCCTACAGCTGGGTTACTGCAAGGATTACTGCTAAAGAAAAAGACATAATCTCATTTTCCTCAAACTCTGTTATTATTTTTTTAAGAACCAGGAGATTAATAAACTAGTGTTCTCCAGTTGGATTAAACTGTTTGAATTTTAAGTACTTTTAGCCACATGAACACGACAATGAAAATCTGGCCACTAATATTTTGAACTGCTTCCTTGTAATCTGATAATTTACAGGTAGGTAGAAAATTGACAGTTTTTATACCTCAAAGTTTAAAGTTGGGGTTATAGCAAAGGTTTTAATAACCTTCTTAGGTTGTAAAGTCTCAAGGGAAATGTTCTTAAACCACACTAAAACTTTCCTCCACAAAACAAATTACAGACCCATACAAAAATCAGTTAATTGTTTTAAAGACATTCCACTGAGATTACACAGCTCAAGAGTAAAATGGAAATGCTTTTAGTTGTCATCTGAAAACAAGGTCGTCTTGCTGGGCTCCAACAACATTTATTTAGAGATAGTTTTTCATTGTGGTGGGCTTTTCTCGAGTTGCTTATTTTTCCATTAACCTGCCGAAATATTAAAACCCTATTTTTATGTGTAATTAGTGATAAACTTGTAAATTGGCCACTTTTATGAAGAAAAGGCTTGATGGAACTGAACCTTTGAGGAGTTGTCGGTACTGGCCAGTAGGGGCAGACCTCTGAGACGTTTCTGTGTCGTGGCTTCCAGTTCCTTTTCACGTACCTGACTTCAGACACCGGGCCGACTTTCTGGCGCCCCCCGGTGCGAATTCTCCAGCTGCCCCGGCCTCGCTGCCTTCCCTTCGCCACCCTCCTGCCCCAGAGTGAGCCCAGCGGGGGCCACCCTGCAAGATAGAAGTTATTCATTTTCTATTTCTCTTCAATTGTATAGATGTAAAAATATTCAAAACGGATGCTTTGGACACGAAAGTTTTTCCATGAGTCCTGCGGAGGGATTCACCTGCGTGAGGATTCGGAATGTATTCTTAGAGTTCCCATTTAATTCTTCACCCATTAAAACACTGGGTGCACCTTCTTTGGAATTCAGAAGTAAAGATACTTTGGAGTCTTAAATCTGGTGCTTTAGGTGGGACCGGGGAGAAGGAAGTATTCCTATCGTGAAGGTTCGGAATGTCCTTCCCTTCTCCCTTCTGACTTACTTAAGAACCGCGTGCACCACAACTGTCACCAAGGAAGAGTGTCTGCGGGATGCCAAGGCAATAGGTCAATGCCTAGGGCTCAGTGTGTGTTGAGGAAGAGCCCTCCGTAATCCTTTTTCCAAAGGTCTCTACGTTTAGGATGCGTCCCTGAAGGGGATGTAAATTACTGTGTTCTGTTGGGTGAACAGGGAAACAGCTTTTTCAAGCTTGTGTGTTTAAAATCTGCTTAAAGTTGGTGAGTACCTTCCCTTACTGGAAATATTAATCAGTAGTAGTAGTAGTTAGTTCTTTCAGCCATCTACTTTGAGAATGTCTTAAGCATTTAGTATAAATCCTTTCTCAGCAAAATGGGCCTTATGCAGATTCCCATAAGGCTGTGTTAACCATATCTTCCTTAGGAAGTCTGACTAGGTCAAAGGCTAAGACGGTGAATTTACTAAAGAGACTTACTTAAAAGCTTAAGTTACTAAGTCAGTTTTAAGTACCAAGCTCTTAGGTTGTAGGTAGCCTTCTGTATTGCCCCAAGGTTGGGATTTTTAATTAAAAACCAAAAATTCAGATTTGCAGTAAAATATGAACAGATTTGCCTTTCTAATTTACTGAAGCTTGGTTTACTTAACTGTCACTAGTAATATCGGTGCTTAGATAAACTGGATGTTGAGTTTTTGTTTAGCACTTACCCACACAGCATTAGACACTTGAGATGATAGGCTTCTTACACTGAGGTTAGCAGATACTCCATTCTTACAGGGAAAAGAATCCAACAAACTGTTTTGGAAGGAGTGCAGGCTAGAGTAGAATGTAGTGAGTGCTGGAAAAACCTTACACTCATGGTAATAAACGAGAAATGGCTACAGGATGTCCCTCTCATTGTGTTTTTGTCTTTAGAAAAGCATGATGCCAAGTAACCAAGAGCAGCAGTTATATTTTCAGGTGCTTTTCAGCAGTGATAACTTATCAATATGCAATCCACATTTAAGTCTTTTTTTTTTTTTTGGTTTTGTTTGAAAGGAAATGTTTTTATTTTATTTAAATTATTTAATGATAAAGGCTTAGTGTTTCTTAAGTATTGTTTACAGAATCAGCCTTAATTTACAACTTTAAAAAAATGACTATGCTTTTTAACATTTTTATTGGAGTATAATTGCTTTACAATGGTGTGTTAGTTTCTGCTTTATAACAAAGCAAGTCAGTTATACATATACATATATCCCCCATAGCTCTTCCCTCTTGCTTCTGTCTCCCTCCCACCCTCCCTATCCCACCCCTCTAGGTGGTCACAAAGCACCGAGCTGATCTCCCTGTGCTATGCGGCTGCTTCCCACTAGCTATCTATTTTACATTTGGTAGTGTATATATGTCCATGCCACTCTCTCACTTCGTCCCAACTTACCCTTCCCCCTCCCTGTGTCCTCAAGTCCATTCTCTAGTAGGTCTGCGTCTTTATTCCCGTCTTGCCCCTAAGTTCTTCATGACCATTTTTTTTTCACATTTAAGTTTTTAATCGCTGTTCCCCTGTGCCGAAGTGTGACGGGCAACAGTCATTATAAAATCAGTTTGAGGCCGAAAAGAAGAGTAAGAGAGAAGCCGATTTAACTCTAGAATGTTTACATTTAAATGCTTTCTTTAAAGTCAAGAATGAACTGAAAATATAAAGCTAGAACCAAAGGAAGACATAAATGTCATACCTGAATCTCCTAAATACTGAGGTTCGAGGTTAGGTTGGTTTAAAAGCAGTTGTTAAAACGTGACCTTCTAAATTTGGCAGGTGAATAAGGAAAAAAAAGTAAGGTTTTTTTGTGTGTTCTGAATTTGTTTACAGATGTATTAAATCTGAAACATAGTGTTACATTTTGAGTCTAGGTTAAAAGAGGAAATACAGCTGCCTAAAATAATATCCTGTATTTTATTTTATTTTTGCGGCACACGGGCCTCTCACTGTTGTGGCCTCTCCGGTTGCGGAGCACAGGCTCCGGACGCGCAGGCTCAGCGGCCATGGCTCACGGGCCCAGCCGCTCCGCGGCATGTGGGATCTTCCCGGACTGGGGCACGAACCCGTGTCCCTTGCCTCGGCAGGCGGACTCTCAACCACTGCGCCACCAGGGAAGCTCTCCTGTACTTTAAATTATTCTCTACATTAACTGTAGGTAGACCTTTGCCATGCATTTAGTGTGAGCTCCCATTGAGGAACAGCTTTAGTTAAGAATTTGATGTGGGGTTACAACTTTGAGAACTGAAATATGCCTTTTACTTTTTCTTAGCTCTGATTTGAAAATAAGTACACTTTGAAAAGCTATACTCACACATTTCTGGTAGCTCAGATGAGGGGTTTCTTGTAGCCAGTTCTTGGAATGAGAAGAAAAGATGCTAACGTTCTCTTCAAAAAACGTAGGTCCCTGGGGAAAAGGAAATGGCAACTCATATTTCCAAGTGACAGCAGGATGTATCCTGACCCAGCACCGCTCCCTGCCATGTCCTCGGCAGCTCTAAAGTATGGATGTCATGGGCCCCAGTGGGTGACTTCAGTCCAACACCAAACAGAAGAGGTAGCCTGTGAGCTGTGTTCTTGCCCAGTCAAATGGCAATGCCTAGAACTAATAAAGCAGTCTTTGTATACGGTTTTTAAGTTGGATCTCAACTATGAATTTTTCCTCCATTAAAAAATAAAAAGCTTGTTTATTCATATTAAACCCAACCATGGTAATTTTGATTAAAGACGTACCTCCTTATAACCCTTTCTGGAATGGTCTGAATTCAAACTCCACATGGGTAGCCTCAGACCAGGGATTTTTCTCATTTGCATTTCACTCTGGTCTTTGTTAAAATGAGTTTCCATCATGGGCTTCCCTGGTGGCGCAGTGGTTGAGAATCTGCCTGCCAATTCAGGGGACACGGGTTCGAGCCCTGGTCTGGGAAGATCCCACATGCCGCGGAACAACTAGGCCCGTGAGCCACAAGTAATGAGCCTGCACGTCTGGAGCTTGTGCTCCACAACAAGAGAGGCCGCGACAGTGAGAGGCCCGCGCACCGCGATGAAGAGTGGCCCCCGCTTGCCGCAACTAGAGAAGACCCACGCACAGAAGTGAAGACCCAACACAGCCATAAATAAATAAAATTTTGTTTAAAAAAATGAGTTTTCATCAGAAGTTAATTTTACTGTAACAGTCATTCCGAAATAGTACTTAGCAAACATGTTTTGGGCCCCGAAGAAATAAATGAATGTAGCCAATTAAGGAGGTGAGGACGGTTATCAGAACGAACAGAGCACAAGCTCTGCGTGTCAAGCACACTTCCCTCTCAAACACAAACTCTTTCGATAATGCCTTAAATTGCATTGTCTCAGTTGCTCTCTTGATATGGGGGATTCAGTCCCAACTGCATCTCTGGAAAGCTCTGGTCTCTCAGTAAGTGCATAGTCTTTAACCCTGTGTAAAGTCATTTGTGTTCGGTCCAGAAAAATGCTAGCGTCAGCATGTCCTTGCTGGGGGTTTTCTTTTTATAAGAAAAGCCAGTTTTCTTTACAGACAATGCAACCTCCATGTTTTAAGAAAGGCAACCAGTCAAATCTTTCAGCTTCAAATTAAAATCGAAAAAGTGTAAGTTTAGGATTTCTGTAAATAAAATCTTACGTTGAGCTTGGTTACCTGGATAGGTTCGATATGGCCCAAAATAGTTTGTTTGTATTGTTGGCTTTTTAGTTGCTTGTTCGTATTTACTTTTTAATATCTTATTCAGATTCTGAACATAAACACATTCAAGGAATATTATTTTGTCCAACTTTGTCTACTTTTCTTTGTATTTGTATTAATTTTCTGTGAAAATGATTAAGGAATTTCCCTGGTGGTCCAGTGGTTAAAACTCCACGCTTCCACTGCAGGGGGTACAAGGTTTGATCCCTGATTGGGGAACTAAGATCCCACATGCCGCGTGGTGCAGTACAAAAAAGAAAGAAAGAAAGAAAAGATTGAACTCTTTGCTATTCCAGTGCTCCCATAGACTTGAACTTGCTTTCCTTTTTCTAATGTTATAAAATCAAGGAACCAGCAAGGGCTGCAGTGGCCCTTAAGAAAGGCCTGGAGCCAGCCAAAAAGAGCAGAGACACCTCACATGAGTACAGCTGGTCACTAGGTCTCCGGCTCTGCTCTTATAATAAGCCTTTCCATATCAGTAAATCTGTAAACAAGTCAGAGGATAAGAGAATTTTACACTGAGAAGAGAGGAATCTTCTCAATTTTTGCTATTTACTGAAATGTACGTATGACACTGTTGGACATGTGACAGGTATCCCAGGAACATGGATGTAGGACACTGGAACGTGACAGGGGTCCCAGGAGTACCTGATGATTCCTACTGAGTTGGGCGAAGAATCTGCCCAGCCTGAAGCGGGCCAGCCTCACCGGCACACTCGTCCCGAACACAGTCCTGATAGCTGGGGCCGAAGGGCCCTTCCAACCTGGAAGTTCTTCTCACCTGTTAGAGAATCAATCTTAAATTTTAAAAGAAGGAGAAAAATACAGCCTAGTCTTAGCTGTCATGATGGAAGCAAACCATAACATATGCTTGCTAAAGAAGATATGAGGGTATATGTATACGTCTAGCTGATTCACTTTGTTATAAAGCAGTAACTAACACACCATTATAAAGCAATTATACTCCAATAAAGATGTTAATTAAAAAAAATGCTTGCTAGAAAGCAATAGGCGGTCATAGAATTGTCCTGGTTTTGATTTATTAGGTTTAGGTACCTGCTACCAAGCTGCTGTCAAATAGCAAAGAGAACTATTTAATTTCACTTCCTTATTTTGTTTGCTTACCATCTCATGGAGGATGGGGGTAATGGCAAAATAATAATAATAATTGTAGTAATAATAATAATAAGCAAGAAGTAAGTGAGGGACTTCACGTGTGCCACTGGGGCATCAGTGCCAAGGAGTGACTGTGCACATGTAAATGTAAGTATGCATATGTGGACTTAAACTCATTACCTTCAAAACAATCATTTTGAGTGAACATGGGGGAATTCCCTTGTGGTCCAGGGGTTAGGACTGTGCTTCTACTGCAGGCCTGGGTTTGATTCCTGGTCAGGGAACTAAGATCCCACAAGCTGTGCAGCCAAAAAATAAATAAATAAAATTAATAAAATAAAAATTTTTAATTGAGTGAACATTGGAAAAGAAACTTATGGCTAAAAATGAGGACAATCAAAAGAAATCTTGTGTACAATTCGATAATATCCAATCCTACCATGAAAAAGATGCTATTGTCAAGTTGAACTGGCCTAAACCTGGCAGAATTAAAGCTACAGACCGAAAAGGAAATTCCGTTTATATTGAAAGGCCATTTACAGATTGTGTTGTAATCTAAGCTATTAAAGTTTAAAACTTTAGCTCTAAAACTGCACAAGGATCCTAGTCTATATGTTATCAAATAGTTTTGACCCAGTTTTCACAAAAAAGACTAAAAAAAATCCAACAACCCAGCAGTGTAAGTTAACACAGTTTGGGGTTATCCATAGGATTGTATTATAATACTTATAAGTATACACAGAATGACTTTTGCAAGGTAGTGGTGTTTCAAAGCTGAGGGCTAACACTGGACTGGCTGAATGAGGAACATCTAGGGAGCTTTTTAAGAAACCCAGTTCCTGGGTCCCACTCTTGGAAACTGAGTATAGGTGTGGCAGGCCCAGGAATCTGAAACATTTTTTAAAGTTCCACATGTAACTGCAGTCAGGTTTGAAAACCATTTCCATAGTGTACTGCTATTCTTAAAAATAGGAGGGGTGGTGGTTTGCCAAACTTTATAGAGAAGTAGACAAACACCCAGGTACCTATTACCCAGAACTGGCATATTTGCTTCAAGTATTATTTTCGTTAAAAGAAATCAGATACCAGGGCTTCCCTGGGTGGCGCAGTGGTTGAGAGTCCTCCTGCCGATGCAGGGGACATGGGTTCGTGCCCCGGTCCGGGAAGATCCCCCATGCCGCGGAGCGGCTGGGCCCGTGAGCCATGGCCGCTGAGCCTGCGCGTCCGGAGCCTGTGCTCCGCAACGGGAGAGGCCACAACAGTAAGAGGCCGCGTACCGCAAAAAAAAAAAAAAAAAAAAAGAAATCAGATACTGGACTTCCCTGGTGGCGCAGTGGTTAAGAATCCACCTGCCAGTGCAAGAGACATGGGTTCGAGCCCTGGTCCGGGAAGATCCCACATGCCGCGGAGCAACTAAGCCCGTGCGCCACAACTACTGAGCCTGCACTCTAGAGCCCGCGAGCCACAGCTACTGAAGCCCGCGCGCCTAGAGCCCGTGCTCCGCAACAAGAGAAGCCACCGCAATGAGAAGCCCGCGCAACGCAACGAAGAGTAGCCCCCGCTCGCCGCAACTAGAGAAAGCCCACGCGGCAGCAACGAAGACCCAACGCGACCAATAATAAATAAATAAATAAAAAGAAATCAGGTACTACAATAAAGCCCCCGTTTCCCCACGATCCTCAGCCCCATTCCCGTCCCCTGCTTCAGAAGCCACCACGGTCGTGACTCAGGGCACGTCCTTCAGGCTCCGTTTGTGATGGTGCCCAGCCCTGCTGCCAGGTGGCCAGTGCAGGAGCCACAGCAACGTGACACTGGGCATTTCACAGGCAAGAGCGGAAGTCGGGTTTCTCCAGAGAAGGAGCACGAGGATCTTACTTAAAGAAACCCACGAAAAAAGAAAAAGATTTGGTAAATTCAGGAACATCGACAATGCATCGTGTGAGCAAAACGACCATAGTGTAGTATTTTCTAGGCAAAGGTGTCAGAGGCCCAAAGGAATTGACAGTGTTTCTCCAGAAGTGGTCACAGCGTTCAGGGTTAGAAATGGTTTTCTTCTCCATGGACGTGGGATATGACATGACTGCTGATGGAAGAAGGTTTCACATATTGAGGTATGGGGAAGTCATTCTGGCTTATACACGATTTAACTCGAATTTCATGCTAACTAAAACAGCCTGTTTGTGGCTTATGAAACATACATTGTACATCTGTTTTAATTATTACAGAGAAGGGCACATTGACTAGAAGTAAAGAAAGTCCATGTTACAAATAAAGATTAAAGGCCACCCTTCCTGGGATGCTCATGCTGGTACTCCTTCGTTGATAAGACTCCCTTCCCATGTGCTGATGCCATACTGACTTGCTGTGTATGTGCTGATCTGTTTTTTTTTTTTAAAACCTTGAAGGAATGTATCCCTGACCCGTTTAATGTTCTTTGTTCTGACAAGATATAAAACTATGCTGAAAACGATGCTCCTCTGGAGTTATCTGAGAGGCTGTCTCCCGGGCTATAGTCCTCAGTTTGGCTCAAATAAAACTCTTTTCTATTCCTATTATAGATTGTTTATTGATTATTTTTGTCAACACTGCCTTCCCCCATTCATAGAAACAAGATTTCTAGTCATCTGATTTTTCTCACCTTGGGAAGAGTCCCATGGGCAAGAAGAGGATGGTTTCTTTGCTGAATGTTCCTTTTTAGAAAAGGAAAGTACTGAGCCCAAGCTTTGCAACTAGGGGCTTTGTTTCTGCCCAAGACAATTCCTCTAGCTGTAAGGCTGCAATCCCAGCAGCCCGACTTTGCAATATTCCCCGAACAAATAATGACGAACGAAATAGCACTTTAGCCATCTGTTCGAGTTGGTGCATTTTGCCTCTGGTGTTTATAAACCTGCTTCAATAAAAAGCAAAAACAAAGCCCAGAGTTTAGCAAAAGGCATGGTTGGGTAAGCAGCCAAAAGCAATTTCCATCTCAGAAAGAAACACAACTTAATTTATATTTAGCCAAGGTGTTTTGAGAACATGTAATTTGCTTTCGAGCAACAAATGCAGTGTGCTCTGGTGTTGCTTAGACACCCCTCCTTTTTGAAGAAAAGCAAAGAAAACATGGGCGTGTCACAACTTTGAGGGTATGCTTTTATGTTTAAATTTGGCTTTGTTGCTGAAATTAGCAGAAAGGATCTTCTGGAACATTGGCCTAACTAGTTCACCAAGCGATTCTTGGTAACGCTTGGGGGACGATTTTCATGGAGGACCAATGGCAGTTAGCTTTGCTCTATGTCTGCATAACAAACATAAAATCCAGTTCTATGTTTGCATAAAATCCTGTGGGGATCTTTCCCTGTTGATTTGCTAAGTGATATCACAAGATAGTATTATATTTATTTGCTCTCTTCTACAGGATAGGAAGACATGAAAAGATTGGATATTTCAACCTCAGCGAGCAGGACAGCCCTAATCCTCATAATCATATGAGGTAGACAGAATATTCTCATCATACACATGAAGAAATTTCAGCTCAAAGAGCTTAAGTGACTTTTCTGGGGTTGCTCAGCAGGGAGAGAGAAAAATGAGAAATTGCCTTCTTTGTATTAAACTATTGCTCAAATAAACAAACAGGAGGTAGCATTTCAAACGTACTCCGTGGTTTATGAACGGTACTGATGGCTGTGGCTCCTGTGTCATGACTGTTGACTGTGTAATCTGTCAGCGTTTAACCATGAAATGTTTCATCTGCAGAACTGGGGACAAAAATACATGGTTTTATTTCTTTGAAGAGATCACTGGCGTTTTCATGGCTGTGCCAGATACTATTTGTTAACCAATTCTCTCCCCACAAGATTAATGCTACATACCCAGAGGAGAGGATATTGAAGATGTTTTTGTCCAGAAACAGGCTACACTATCTTCAAAGGAAACAAAGGAAAAATTGAGCTTTAAATTTGCACAATGTAAAAAAAAAAAAAAAAAAAAATTTGCACAATGTAATGTGTTAAATATATTGCAGTTAGAAAAACTGCACTGCAGGGATTAAAGTTATTAATTATTGGCGAGTAAATTGTAATAAGGGTTATATTTTTAAATATGTGATTTTTTTTCTTCTCCCTTCTAAATTCACTACCAAAGCAGAAAAATCTAATGAAATTGCATAAAACTAGAAATGCAGAAAATAAGATAAGGAGAACTTCTGTAGCCTTCATGGCCTCTGATAAATGGGCTCTGCAATGCTGCAGATTCCACAGAAAGCGCCACTTAGACTTCTTTAAGTCATTTTTTAACAATGAAAACCCATTTAAGAATTAAGCCCTGGCAGACAATTGTACTTAGTCTTGCTATGGTAAGGAATATTCTCGCCTGAAACGACAAACATAAGGGAATGAATTCTGAAGCATCTCCTAGATCATATGGTTTCTCCAAGTTTTCTGTACCCTGTGTCTGTTCCTCCTCTGCCGAATCATTAATAAGTTCCCATATTTGACATCTTGCTAACCCCCTTACCCTCCTCTGGTCCTTTCTGTAAGTCCCTCTGTACTAGTAGCCAGAACACAGTGGTAACTAACAGTTACCACTGTTAGTTAACAGTGCTTTCTCAGGGGTTTGACTCCAGATGCAAACTCAGGCACCTAAGAATCAAAGGAATCAAATTCTTTGTATCATAGCTTTAGTCAT